TCATCCAATACGTGGCGCGCCGTATGATACGAGTGCGGCCGCTGTCCAAAGTTTGCGAGGAAGTGTTCGCGCAGATACTGCCCAAAGAGATGCCGGCGCACGGCATCATCGGTAAGGACAACATGACTTTCGTGATCGTCAAGTTCGAGGGCTCCGGTGCCACCGCCACCACCGCCGGCGTCAAGAGGACTAAAAGTAACAGCTCTGCGGCCGCCCAGCCTCTCGGCCCTCCCGGCCCCACAACACCGGCCACTACGGCGCCCAAGAGGACGAACAGCAAAGAATCACTTTTCCAGCAAAAGCCGAACCCGAGTCCCAAGAATAGCTAAAATCTCTGTCCGTTTTGTGTGTTTCCCGTCGTTATAGAGTCCACAGAAACACTGATAATAAATATTAGAAATAAATAATCTGTAAATAAAATGATCAATTCATTTGTCATTAATATTTACTATTTTATAATAAATTACTTTTTCTTTTATGTCTTTCGCTAATAAAATCTGATATCTAATAGAGTTTTAAGTTTTGTGTTGATTTGTGCGGAAACTTATTGAACAGGATATTCCGTGCGGTGAAGATCAGTGTCGGCCATCAGTGTCCGCTTCACGACATGTAAACGGCGTACGGGGTGTCCGGTGTGGGAGGAGTCGCATCACTTCATACTCTATAACCCCATTTGGGAGACCATTCACATCGAAGTGATGGACATGTATTGGTCGAAGAGAAACAGTTGCTGCCATTCGTACCGATCTCTGTGAGCACTTNGCGTACGGGGTGTCCGGTGTGGGAGGAGTCGCATCACTTCATACTCTATAACCCCATTTGGGAGACCATTCACATCGAAGTGATGGACATGTATTGGTCGAAGAGAAACAGTTGCTGCCATTCGTACCGATCTCTGTGAGCACTTTCGGGTCCATTGCCGACCACATGGGTCTGTCCGATAAGGGAACGGTGTTGGGCTCGTATGAGATACCGACCTATGATGTGCTCAAAGTGTATAAAATGAAGATTGAGGGCACCTATAGGTTGAACGGTTATGTGGAGAACGGATATATAAGACTCCTGACGGCCATAAGAATCGTTGACTTCGAGACTCATGTGAATGAAAATGTGAGGAAACCGAGGGTTGTGGTGACGGGACTCATGAGTGGTGTCCAGCAATCCATTCAATTAGAAATCCAAATCAAAAAAGACTCCGACAATATCCGTGGTGAGTGATACCATGAGTACTAAGACAGTGGCATCAGGAGTGGGATAAAGTAATTCACAAAAGGAAATGGATGTCAAAGAGTTGGAGGAACGCAATGAGGACAGGGAGGAGACGTTTGAACCGTTAGATATCAACTGATTCTCACAACAAATATATATTTTCTAAATCTTATCAATTAATGACTCTTTTTATACATAATTATAAAGTTTTAATCCAAACATTAATACTAATAAGCACTCAATGGATTAGAAAACACTCATTTTATACGTGAAATTAAACATGAAATCAAAAGTGACAGCATTTTGTAAATCAAACTTTTATTTATCTAAAAAACAAATGAATAATTTGATGAATCGATACAACAAAACAAAAACACATTTGATTTGATTCACTGTTTTGTTTGCGGAGTTTTTATCGCCTTTTAAAAAAATACAGTCAAATGTGTGGCGAATGGAAGGAAAAAGAAACTCTTTGTGGCGAACGACATGTGATATTAAGTGGTTTTGGATCCCGGTGCTTTGCTGCCGGCGCCACTCGGGGCCACACCACTCGGGGTCACACCACTCTTGCCGGGAGCGGTGCTCAGCGTACTCCTGGTGCTACTGCCGGCCCCACTGCCTGCGGCGCTGCCTGTCTTGGAGCCCGTCTTAGAGCCGGTCTTCGAGGCGGTGCCGGTGATCGCAGCCGCGCCTTCAGCTCCAGTCAACGATCCGGTCTTTGAGGCCGTCTTCGAGTCGCTCTTCGAGGAGTCAGTCTTCGAGCCGGTCTTTGAGCCCGTTTTTGAGGCGCTGGCGGCGGCCGCGGCGCCGGTAGACGAGCCGGCGGACGAGACGGCGGTGGCGGGGCTTACGGCCGATCCTGTCTTCGAGCCGACCGCTGATCCAGCCTTTGAGCCGATGGCCGACGCGCCGATTCCGCTGCGGACTTGACTACTCGAACCTCCCGTCGATGACAGAGTGGACGTCCCGCCGGCCGACGAGCCGATGGCCGACCTGCCGCTTGAGCTGAAAGTTGACGCGACGCCTGAACCGCCCGCTGACGACACGCTGGAGCCGACGCCAGATGAGGCCCCGGTAGACGAGCCAGTCTTGGACCCGGTCTTTGAGCCCGTCTTTGAGTCCGTCTTCGAGCCGCCGGCGGCCGGCGCTTCTCCCGGCGGCACGTCTGCCGGCGCCCCCTCTGCCGGCGCTTCTTCTGCCGGTGCCTCGCCTTCCGGTGGTTGCTCGCCCTCTTCCGCTGGTTTCTCTCCGCCTCCGCAACAGTTTCCCATTTCTTGTCTTATGATCTTATGAACAGTTGGTCCCAAAGAGTTTTAAACTAGTGATGAGTTGTTGAACTGAAACTGTGTTTTGTTTGTATATCTGTTGGACTGACGGTTTGTAACGGTTTGTGCGGTTTTGAATGAACAGAATATTCGGTGTGTTTTGTGTGCGAGGAATGCATTTAAATGTAGTGTTTAGTACGAGATGTCCACTGATTTTTGGGTCAAAAATGATTTACTTTTGAATTACAGCCCAAAGAGTGTGAGAATTGAATCATTATTTCCGACGAATGCTATACACAAATCATATCTTGTAAGACAGTCTCAACAATGAAAAGTAAAAGTAATAGAAAAAATCTTATTAAAGATATCAAAGATTTATAACAAACTTTTCAAAATAATGACTAATTTACTGTTAAGACGTTTATACCATAGTATAAAGAATTTTATACCCAAAACATTTACAAATTATCTCAATTTAAACCAAATTTATATAAAATTCATTCAAATATTGCATTAAATAAACGGAAAACTAAATTCTGTTTTAAAATACTTTTATTTTACAATTTTGAATAAAATCATGATTTTTGGGTAAATCTTGGTTTGAAGCCTTGATTCCGAGGGAACGACACTTCACTCCTCCTCTCCTCCGAAGTGCGATCTCCTTCTCCTTCTTCTTCGTCCACCACTTTTTCCCTTCGAATGGGAACGCCTTCGGGGTCGACCCCCAGACCGGGAGCGACCCCCAGACCGGGAGCGACCCTTTCGACTCCATAACCTCACCGCCCGATCGCAGTGTCTTCTGCTCTTCGGAATGGACTTCGAGTTCGTTTGGATTCATATTTGAATGAATTTTGCGGTAAAAGTATTCCTAAGAAATTGAATGATTTTGTTATCCAACGACTGAATGATTGGAAATTCAAATGAGAGCTCCTTTTATAGCATTCATTGAAAACAATGATTCAATTCTCGCACTCTTTGGGCTTGAATTGAAAAGTAAATCATTTTTGACCATAAATTCAGTGAATATCTCGCACTCAAAACACCTGAAAGTAATTCAAAGTGTATTTAAGCATAAATTCCGTTAAAAATTACATTTGGATTACAAACCAATTGTGATATTCACTGACAATTCAACACAAATACTCACATTTCTTAACGACTTTTACACTCAACAGCGATATCTTCGGCGAAACCTAATCTGTGTTTCCATTTGTGTCCATAAATACAGACAATAATTAATGGGAAGTATTTGTAGTCTTCTCTGTTGTTGTTGTCGTCGTTCATCTGACGAGAAGTCTAAGCCTAAGAGTCCGCCAAAGTTTCCGAAGTCTCCGAAGGGAAGTCCTAACAAAAAGACTCCTAAATACAGCAGAGGACAGAACGACTACTACCAGCCCTCCCCACCACCGGCCGGCCAAAAGAGACAGCTTTATAACAACCCCTACACTACTGAAGACGAGGACACGACCGGACTTCCAGAGGAAAGGGATGACATAATTCAAAGGGAAGTGATCGCCAATAAACCCGCCATTAAGACGGAGGGCAGCGCCTACTCTAAGAGCAAAGGCAAGGGAATGAAGCGCCGGTCGCATCCGGACACTGAGTACAACCAACAGGGACTCATCGCCCCGGGATCGTCCGAGTTCCAGACGGTCGGCAACTACCTGTCCACCAAAGACTTTCACCTGCAGGTGAGTATAGGCAGCGGCAACTACGCCGAGGTGTACCGGGCGGTGGGGCCGAAGGGAAAGTTGGTTGCAGTCAAAGTGATTAACTTACGGAAGATTGAGGGCAACTATAGGACGAGTTTTTTGCCGAATGAGATAAAAGTGCTCCGAAAGTGCAAACATAACAACATTATTAAGATGTATNGTGTACCGGGCGGTGGGGCCGAAGGGAAAGTTGGTTGCAGTCAAAGTGATTAACTTACGGAAGATTGAGGGCAACTATAGGACGAGTTTTTTGCCGAATGAGATAAAAGTGCTCCGAAAGTGCAAACATAACAACATTATTAAGATGTATGAGATCTCGCAGACAGAGAACCGGGTGTTTATGGTCATGGAGTTGGCCCCGTATGGCACCCTCGCTGACTGGCTCAAGGATAAGGGCGCTCTCACCGAGACACAGGCCGTCCCTATCTATATACCCATACTGGACGCCATGCACCACATGCACACCAATAGGATAGCGCACCGGGACCTGAAGCTCGAGAACATACTGATCACTCGCAATCACGTGCCAAAGATCTCGGACTTCAGTTACGCCATCGAATACCAGAAGAATGAGCCGAAGACGACCACCTTTTGCGGATCGTTAGCTTACTTCAGGTAATTCACGGGCTATTCATAATGACAACCATTACCGAGCGCTTACCACTCGAGCCCTAAACCCCGCTTTCATTTCAGTCCAGAGATACTACAGCGACAGCCGTTTGATCCGATCATATCCGACATCTGGAGTCTCGGCGTCTGTTACTATATCGCACTCAACGACGGCCTGCCCTTCAAGTTAGGCGACGACCGGCTTATGTTACAGAAACAGCTGACGAGGGACTGGCGGTGGAGGCCTAGAGTGGAGCCTAATCTGTCGAAAGAGGTGAAGGATATGGTGACTAAGATGTTAGAGCCGGACACCAGTGCCCGCGTCACCACCGACGCCCTCGTCAGACACAAGTGGGTGACCACCAAACGGACAGCCATTCAATGAGTGATAGCATAACACTCGCCAACCAAACAAATAGTTGTCTAAAACTTTATTTCATTCTCGTTTTGATCTTAAAATTAAATGTTAATTCAATTGTGAATAGTGTCTTATGTTTTGAATTATGTGTTTATTAAATGAATTAAATAGTGAAATGAATTGTGTATTGAATTGAGAACTTCGTGATGAACACCTCCTACACAATAGCCTATTATTGTATTATTGTATCCAGTTCATGACATTTATTAATAAGTTATTAATAATAACTCTAACTTTTTAACACATTTCTAGAGTTAGTTTATGTAATAGTTGTTAGTTAATGATGTTAAATATGTTGTGATTTTATATTTTTATTGATATTTAATACTCATTGTATTTCAATCATAAGAATCTTGTAATGAATTTGTGATTAAAAGCAAGAATTTGTTGCTAATGTCTTAATAATTGTAAATATACTTAATATACTAAATGGTTGGTTATAACAATCGTATGATTTTGTATTCAATTCAATATTGCTGTAGATTTTATATTCAATTTACAGAACATATTCATTACTAATTTAATTCGTTATCTGTTAGAAAAAGTGTTATTGAATATAATTTACAGATTATTTTTATAATAGGACATTATGGGAATTATATTAATAATACAGTAATTATAAGTCATGAATTAAATTCAAATTGATTTTTATTGATATAATATATGATATTTCAATAGTCATAACAAATATGAAAATATAATCATTGAACAACAGATTTATAGGATGTAAGCAATCATTTGATACCAGGTTTAAGAGTAGCGAACGCTTTGTTACCTCTGAGTACTGCACACATCTCTTGCATCCAATTCCAGATATAACTGTCTCTCTCAGACTTCTTCGACTCGAAGATCACAATCAGAGTAATCCTCGGGTCGGGACGTATCAAAAAATAAGTGCAATTCAATTGGGAATCAAATAGTGGAACCAATGAGTCACTGGTATTCAGTTCTTTTGATTTGTTATTCATAATCATTATAAGAGTCGGTAAATGACTTTTTGGCACTTCTAAGGGATAACTATAGATAATAGGTATGGAATCAATCCCTTTGGGACTCTCGAAGCTCTTATACGGTGAATGATATCCAAACCCTTTGTAATCCTCTAAGCCGTGAGTATCAAACAGAAGGGCCACAAACTGTGCGTCAGTTTTGCGCTGAAAAGTGATCACTTTCTGGATGTAATCAATGGACTGTTTGCTACAAACAGTCTTCATATCATTGGAACAACTGTTTGAAACCTGTTTACTAAGAGTGCTATAAAAGTAAAGACTGTATTTGGATATGAGACTAGACTTGAGTCGACACATCCATTGGTAGAGAGGCGGCGGAGAGACTGTTGTCCTGNGCTCTAACATCTTAGTCACCATATCCTTCACCTCTTTCGACAGATTAGGCTCCACTCTAGGCCTCCACCGCCAGTCCCTCGTCAGCTGTTTCTGTAACATAAGCCGGTCGTCGCCTAACTTGAAGGGCAGGCCGTCGTTGAGTGCGATATAGTAACAGACGCCGAGACTCCAGATGTCGGATATGATCGGATCAAACGGCTGTCGCTGTAGTATCTCTGGACTGAAATGAAAGCGGGGTTTAGGGCTCGAGTGGTAAGCGCTCGGTAATGGTTGTCATTATGAATAGCCCGTGAATTACCTGAAGTAAGCTAACGATCCGCAAAAGGTGGTCGTCTTCGGCTCATTCTTCTGGTATTCGATGGCGTAACTGAAGTCCGAGATCTTTGGCACGTGATTGCGAGTGATCAGTATGTTCTCGAGCTTCAGGTCCCGGTGCGCTATCCTATTGGTGTGCATGTGGTGCATGGCGTCCAGTATGGGTATATAGATAGGGACGGCCTGTGTCTCGGTGAGAGCGCCCTTATCCTTGAGCCAGTCAGCGAGGGTGCCATACGGGGCCAACTCCATGACCATAAACACCCGGTTCTCTGTCTGCGAGATCTCATACATCTTAATAATGTTGTTATGTTTGCACTTTCGGAGCACTTTAGTATTTGCATTTTCTCGACGAAAAGGTGCGGGAATTCCGCTAAACTCTCGGGAGGTTTGAGGTTATGGTTGAAGAGCGCCAGCATCTCTTCCCTTCCGTATCGATACTCCGATAGCTTGTACTTCGGGGGAGCGCCTGATGTGGGGGGACTGGTGGCCGGCGCGTTGGGTCCGCCCCCTGACAACGCTTTAAGCCTTTAATTCACAATCAATTCATTAAACAAACGCTTTATTCATTGAAAATAAAAGCAAAACATATGTGAAAAACGTGCACAAAATATGGGCTTTAATTAGCAGTCATTGTGTAATTGGGTTTCAATGAGAAATGTATTGTTTTTGTCTGTGTTTTGCGCGAATGTCTCACAAAATAGTCATTCAAAAGAGTAGGCAATCAGAGGATTGTTACCATTCGGGACCGAACTTCATGTCCGTTGCCATCGCTGATGATCACAATCACTGGATCTCCTGATGTGTTCAACTCTTTGCAACGAGTCTTATAAGCAATCTCTGCGTCCAATCAAATCCTTTGGCAATTAACTAGACATTTGTGACAACAGATTAGACACACATTGAACACATGAACCAAATGAATGTCCAAACGCTTGTAAATCACGGATTGAATGAATTGCATGCAAACAATGAATGAATGTTTTTCGCGACAAATACCTGAATGGTGTGCAAAACAACGTCAATATATATACGGTTGGACTCAAAGCTGTATGGAGTGGTTGAACACAACGTGTCGATCAAAGTGTGGTTTAATTGAAATGAAATGATGTATTGATTGGTGTATTGAATAACAGTTAGCGAACAATTGAATGCGAGTTTGTGTGAGAATTAGTCCGAACAACAGACTCACTGCTAATACATACGAATACAGTGTTTATTATGTATGACTCTCTTCATAGGAAACTATAGCGAAACTGTAGTGTTGTATTCAATACAGTAGTGAATAACAGCTGCAAAACACTACAAAACACATACAAAAACAGCTCTAATATGGTGTCGATATTGTCTCCAATCGCGCACATATTACGTCCGCTAACTCACCGCCAGTACTGACACCCCGTTGTGTCCACCCATTCATGGCTGGCACTGGCATTGAGGGCACAACTGCCCCCACTATGCCGTCATTTATGGCACTAATGCTGTCCTCTCTCTGCACTTCTGTGTCCAGCGATTGGTTCAAACAATTTGAGCACAAATTACGTGCAAATCATGTCTTCATTTGTTTTGAAACTGATTTAAAAAATTATGAAATATTTGTATTTGTTTTGAAAGTGTGACGAATGGACACAAACACCACAACCAGTGAATGGTTTGCACCCATAGTGTGCACCCATTCGTGACCATCGAGTGATTGTGTCCAGCGGTAAGCCATCGAGGAGTGCAGTGATGTCTGGAGCGAGGGATGTGGTGTCGAGTCAGGAGACAATTCTGGAGCAATACTTCACTCTGAATGCAGTGTTTCTTTGGGACAAAGCGAAGGAAATGGTGGAGAAGGAGAGGGACTCTCATCGCCACCAACAGAACCAGTCGTCGATCATGTCGTCGATGATGACGGCTTTGGCGCAGTTGTCTTTGGCCGACAAGAACTACATTCACCTGCACTTCTTGGCGCCCAAAGGCTTCCTCCGCAAAGACGTGTTTGTATTGACGGCTATATTTGTGTGCCATTTGTGTGACATATGTTTGTTATCTTTGGATGTGTTTAGAGTGAAAGGAATGTACGAAACCCTCAGAAGTGAGTTCGAGAGACTGCACGACAGGGGGAACACCTGCGCGTCCACTGAGCCCAGGCAGGCGAGCACTACCCCATCCACGCCCATCACCACAGCTGCTGTCCCCGCAAACATACCGTCGGCCACGTCTTCCAGTTCTTCGAGCATACTATCCATAGCCGTGTCGTTGTCTTCGGCGTTGATGTCGACGACGAGCGCGAACTCCCAATCGGTGCCCAACTCTCCCATCAAAGCCACTCTGGAAGTGTTGGATCGATTGGCGGCACATATTTGCGGACAACTCTTGTGGTACGTGAGGGCTCGCATCGAAATGATGGACATCTATGAGAAGATAACTATTGTCTCGAATCAAAAGTTTTGTTTATTTGATGAATGCATTAATGGTTTACAAGAGATCATCAAAACCAATGCCCGGCACTTTGTGGTGGGCTAGGATAGCCGGTACTTTTCACCAAAGTGGAAGCTCACGCTATAAGAATACCGAGAGTACTTCCGAGTCTGTCTGTAAGTTTTAGAGGCTAAAGAGCTGTCAAACAAATCAAATGTTCAATCGCAAACAAAACTCAGTTCTTGGGCTCAAATGTCTCTGAATCGAGAGGCAGCACAGCGTCGGAACTCCATTCTCAGGACAACAGTCTCTCCGCCGCCTCTCTACCAATGGATGTGTCGACTCAAGTCTAGTCTCATATCCAAATACAGTCTTTACTTTTATAGCACTCTTAGTAAACAGGTTTCAAACAGTTGTTCCAATGATATGAAGACTGTTTGTAGCAAACAGTCCATTGATTACATCCAGAAAGTGATCACTTTTCAGCGCAAAACTGACGCACAGTTTGTGGCCCTTCTGTTTGATACTCACGGCTTAGAGGATTACAAAGGGTTTGGATATCATTCACCGTATAAGAGCTTCGAGAGTCCCAAAGGGATTGATTCCATACCTATTATATATAGTTATCCCTTAGAAGTGCCAAAAAGTCATTTACCCACTCTTATAATGATTATGAATAACAAATCAAAAGAACTGAATACCAGTGACTCATTGGTTCCACTATTTGATTCCCAATTGAATTGCACTTATTTTTTGATACGTCCCGACCCGAGGATTACTCTCAAACACTAGAAGCTCAGCTTCTTCAGACTCTCTCTGTCAATATAGACCTTAACCTACGTTCTCTACACACGTCATGAGTCTCCATTGTTTCGCAAGCGATGAGAATTTGGACCATAGTTTACTAACGATACATCCTATAAATCTGTTGTTCAATGATTATATTTTCATATTTGTTATGACTATTGAAATATCATATATTATATCAATAAAAATCAATTTGAATTTAATTCATGACTTATAATTACTGTATTATTAATATAATTCCCATAATGTCCTATTATAAAAATAATCTGTAAATTATATTCAATAACACTTTTTCTAACAGATAACGAATTAAATTAGTAATGAATATGTTCTGTAAATTGAATATAAAATCTACAGCAATATTGAATTGAATACAAAATCATACGATTGTTATAACCAACCATTTAGTATATTAAGTATATTTACAATTATTAAGACATTAGCAACAAATTCTTGCTTTTAATCACAAATTCATTACAAGATTCTTATGATTGAAATACAATGAGTATTAAATATCAATAAAAATATAAAATCACAACATATTTAACATCATTAACTAACAACTATTACATAAACTAACTCTAGAAATGTGTTAAAAAGTTAGAGTTATTATTAATAACTTATTAATAAATGTCATGAACTGGATACAATAATACAATAATAGGCTATTGTGTAGGAGGTGTTCATCACGAAGTTCTCAATTCAATACACAATTCATTTCACTATTTAATTCATTTAATAAACACATAATTCAAAACATAAGACACTATTCACAATTGAATTAACATTTAATTTTAAGATCAAAACGAGAATGAAATAAAGTTTTAGACAACTATTTGTTTGGTTGGCGAGTGTTATGCTATCACTCATTGAATGGCTGTCCGTTTGGTGGTCACCCACTTGTGTCTGACGAGGGCGTCGGCGGTGACGCGGGCACTGGTGTCCGGCTCTAACATCTTAGTCACCATATCCTTCACCTCTTTCGACAGATTAGGCTCCACTCTAGGCCTCCACCGCCAGTCCCTCGTCAGCTGTTTCTGTAACATAAGCCGGTCGTCGCCTAACTTGAAGGG